TCTGTATGACGAATTGCGCAATCTCACTAATATTGGGTTTTCTCGTTCGACAAAAAATAAACGCTTATTGAACCTAGTGCACCCTGTACTAGTCCATAGGGAATATATATTAAAAATATAAAATATCAAAAAATAACAAACAAAACATTATTCTAAATCAAATTACTTGTTCCAATAATCGACCGAAAACGAATGACTTACGGAGAGTAACGTATAGATATTAACCGGTGTTACGATTTGTGAACACACGTCTGAATTACACTATTCCTACATATTCCTTTACTCTTCTTCAAAACTACGATCAGCATTCAAAGTAAGCAATCAACGTGCTAGTTAACTGAATTCGTAAATACATTTATTGCCTTTGGAATATTCCTCTTACTTTTGCTTTACAAATCTTTTCGCTTTGCCTAATTTTTTAGGGTAATAATTAGCACAGTCGTTGAACTTCGTTTCAAACAAATCTGAAGTAAATTAGCAGAGAAATAAACAGAACTTTTATTTCAAATTTCTTAATTTGCGTTCTGTGGATTCAATACAGCGCTTTGTGCATTTTAAAGACGCATCGTCCAATGAGAATACTACTTTGATTATAGACTGGAAAAAGTATATACGCCAGAGCCCGTCGGTTGTTCTGACAGAATGATCTTTTTGATACAAATTGATTCACCAACCAAATTCAACATTTTTAACATTATTTTGATCTTGCAAATGTATTTTATTGAGTTTAAAGAATGGTAGAATTCCACATTAACGTAAGGATTTTATCTTTCCAATAATAAGAGTGAATATGGTGGAGTCCATTAGTTATGCATTTGCATTTGCAATGGTTTCATTGGTGTTTTTTCGGCATAAATTGTTATTTTTTACTCCCCTACTACTATTTGCTTATTTTGATTCAAATATTGCTGCAATTGAGTGACAATCAGTCGTTGTAGTTCATTACAGATTCTCATTCATAATTAACATGGCATTTTTTACTAACTATGAAATAAATATGATGTGACCGCAATATTAGTGGTAACATAGAACCAAGAAAATGGTAAACTTTCCTTTGAATGAGGAATATTGTCATCTACTTATCACGGACAATAACGTATGCAGCAAAAAACGCCATTGGAAAACACGACTTTTGTTTACACGTATTGACTGTTTTGATTCTTGAAATGCTAATTTACATTCAAAATGTGTGAACAATAATATAGAAAAACATTATATTGTAAAAGAAATAACAAGCCTTCCATAAATTAACCTGAAGGTCCTCCACTACCCAGCGCAACAATAATAACACGATTAATTGATTTATAATTACATTATCATATTGGGATGCCATTCGATTGAAAGTTAATCTATTTCTTGAACAGGTCCTCTCCATCGACGTTTGTTGATATTGTAAAACCAAGTTTCTTTACTCATCAGCTGCATTTGCAGGTTTGATTTGAATTGTTTATCGCTTGCCAATGGTCCTTAATACAGATTTTCAATTTCTTATGCTCACATTAATCCAAAAAACGACTTTAAGCGTCGTTATATCCATAATTTAACACAGAGTTCAATGCGCATATTAAAAGATGATTATCGGTCACCTTAAATCAATCATGAAATTTGCGAATGTTGTCTAAAATAAGCTTCAAATACTTAGTAGTAATCCCCTATTTATTTTGTTCATCTATTTACACATGAAATTCAGCTCCAATAAAATAACAGCCGCGTTAAGTAGACCCTTAAAAATAAATCTTATGTTGAATATTAGGAATTAACTTTCGTGAACCACAAAAAATGAAGAAGGAATAAGAAAAGCAAGATCTGTGTATAAATAAACAAAAGAAACACAAGGAAGAGACAAAGAGAATTTTTTGTTTAAACGTCATGCTATCTACAGTTTTTTTTCAAATTCTCACCAAAATTGCAACGAAACAACGAAATATATAGATGATCCGATCTTTTATTCAAAATTCAAATTACGAGAAGTTCTTACGGACTTCTCGTGTTTCTGTTATGAATAAAAGTAGAAATTTAGCAGTCATTTAACAGCTCGCGCTTTCATTCTTATTATTTGTATTGGCAAAGATTCCGTCAATATATTTTTAATATGACCTCACGTCCCCTCAAACGCTTGCAAAGTATAAGTAGTATATATATATTCACTCTGTTAAAAATTGAGCTATGATTTCTTTTTTTCTAATTATATATGTACTCACGACACACTGTAATATTAATACGGAAGTAAAATTTGATTTAAAATTAAGTATGGAATTATGAACTGAAGAGAAAACCGTATTTTATTTCGAGGTTATGGGCGTAATAGGAGACATTAAAGTCGTTTTCTTCTATGCAACTATTGCCACGGACGTCTTTGCTACGTAATTGGTTACCTATTTCCAATAGCTATACATCCCCGAACCTTTCTTTATTCAATCTGTAACTCAATCTAAAAATATATCATGGTCCTCTTTTAAGTCCAAAGTTGAGCTCTCGAATTACGAACGGAGAATTTTCATACCTACTATCCTGCCATGAGAAACTACATCTCGTAAACTGGCGGACAAACGACAAATTTACAAAGCTATTCTAGCTTAATTTTCCGGCCAAAATAAAAATTACGTCTCCATATACACCCAAAAATATCCTCTACAAGATTTATCATAGATGCTATTGTTATAACAAAACGTTCGGATGTTTCTGCCCTGTTTTTATATTTAACTATAAAAGAAGACCGCTTTAATATTCATATTGATGATAACAAAAAAGCGGAAAAGGATACACTGGTACTTTTTTGGATAAACCACATATGCAGATATCTCAGTATTTGACTTTCGTGACCAACCGAGATTTTACAGGCCGTGTGTGCGAAGCTTTCATACAACACGAAAATTATAACGCAGAAAGGCTATATCTGGAAAGGATAATTATAAAAATAAATATAAATTAGGTATCGAAAAATCAAAATTTGATGGAAAAATGGAACGAAATAAGAAAATAAACGATTGGTTTACTCGATGGCATAGACGCTACGAACTGGTCTTTACATTAAGAGTCTTCTTGCAGAAAAATTCGAAATTCTTGTTTTGATAGCAAGCCGATTTAAAGCGTAATAATCGAGAAAATAAAAAACAGTTCAAATTCCATAAGCTAGATTAACAACGAGTTTCTAATACGTCAGTCATTTATTTAATTGTTTAATTCTGCAATATAAATTACATAATAATTATATAAAATAAATAGATAATTACATAAAATAAATATGGTAAATTGGTTACTATAAGTAAATATGTACATATATGTGTAAGCAAATAAAATTAATAAATATATAAGTAAAGTAAGTACATTAGAAGAAGATAAATATAATAAACTACAAAATATTCTTCTTCATATTTCCGACATGAAATTTTTTAAAGCGGTTGCGAAGACAGAATCTAGAATTTTTTAATTCTTTAAAGTAAATGATGAAAAAAAAAAATTATATTTACTACATATATACATGCTCTTTGGTCTTTTTTCGTACCTACTCACCTGTATGCAGAATTGTATTTGCTTTTCAATCGTTTGAGAGAATGCGACGTCAAGAAACTAATAACAAAATCTGTGACCATAGAAATAAGGAGGACTAAGGAGCAAGCTATCAAATGGCAGCTAATCACGTTACTATTATTATCCATACCACACAAAGTCCGTAATAATTTCCTAATTTGGATTTTGAACAAAATTTCGTACCGTCCGTTTTTTTCGTTGTCTCTGATTTTTATAATTTATTTCGTTCTGTCTGGTTAATTGAAACAAACCACAACTAATAATTACTAGTCATATCTTCCTTTGTTAATTTACACTCCACTCATATTGTTATCCTTTCTGTTGTGGCAAATGTGCATGTTTTTTTTTATTTTTCTATTTATCCCTTTTCTTGTAAAGGTATAAACTTGCTAATAGGACCGTTTATATCATAAATATATGAATAGTATTAAAAAGAAAATATAACACTTACCTTGTCCACGAATTGAACGTACTTTGACAAATTAATCCAAATAGATTGTTACTGCATGTTATTTCTAGCTTTAAAGTTCTAATTTTATATCATGTGACTCCCCTACATCCATCATAAAAAAGTCGTTACATTTTTTAAATATTGTATTTTTATAGCTCATATTAAGAAAATTATGACATTTACAATACACAGTTTTTCGCTGCATAATGAAAGAGAGTTGTACAAAGAAAACGGTTGGTAAAATTCATGAAAGTATCATATTAGCGTGGAAAATTCCGCTTAAGTTAGATAAAACGTAAAGAAAACATTTACTTATATTTTTCCTTCTAGCATTTTCCTAACAAATGTTTTGATTATGAAGATGGCAATATAAGTTTTAAATCGTTTGTATTACTAATAAAAGAGTCTTTAATTATCCATAGTGACTTTATTAGAAATTCCCCAGAATTCTATTCATATTTCGTAAAAATTACACAAATATGTCCTCAATTTGCGTTCTGAAACTTCTCCTTCAGCTAATAGAATCTGAAAGTTTTTAATAACTTCGAATTTGTGTCAACATTACAATGAATAAGGCAAAATGAGTTAGTGTGGTAAAAAGGAAAAATATTTGAATGACATTACATAGTCGATTCTATTTTGAGTTTTATTAATATCATCACTATGTCTTGCTTCTTTCACACCTTGACTTAATTTTTTTTGCTACAAGCGGCAGTTCACTTTTTTGAATTGCAAGAACATTTTTTTCCTTTAATATTTTTCCACAATTTTTTTTTAGTGAACATATAGGCCGTCCTTATTGGCTTCCTCTAGTGACTCTCTACAAACAAAAAAAAATTTTTGAGTCTTCTTTTTTAAATTTATTGTAGAAAAAGAGCTCATTTTGTTCAATGTCAACTTATGTTAGGAACTCTATAGCATACTGTGTACTTTGAGGATCGAATTTTACATTGTTTACTTATTATTTTCTTTTTTGTTTTGGTTTCAATTGGTGGCGATTTTACAAATACGGAATTAGCTATTTCTTTGGAAAATACTAGTTACTCATCGATGGCGAATATGGACAACAGCATAGACCAGCAGCACGCCAACGGAGCGCAAGTAGGCAGTGACGTGACTGCTGCAGTTATGGATTTGCCGGCGACTCTTTTAGAAAGAAATGATGAGTCTGCTTTCCCACGTTGTATCCATCAACGCGCGTTGAACCATAGCAATAGCATCAATGGAATGAAAGAAAAGAGTTCCCCTGCGGAAACTTTGTCCGTGTCCACTACTGTCGGTACTGTTGGAAATTCACAAATACAGGCAGCTAAAGTTCTAACTATCAAAAACCTCAACAACGAAAATAGGCAGATTAATATTTCTTCCAATTTTGACAACAATAACCAGGCTAACCATAGTAATAACAGCAATAACAATACCTCGCAAAGTTCCACCATTACCTCTTTAATATTACTACAACCTCTAAATAAAACTCATAGCCCGCCAAATTCTGGAACATCAGCTGTTGGTCGGAATGATTGCTACATTAGTACTACAAGCTCAACAGTGCTACCGAGTTTTAGCCAGCATTACTCCGAAGGCAAGTCTTCCTCAAGTTTTCTTCCTCTTTGAAAAAACAAATTGCACTCTTTTTTCTTGGCTAAGTATTTTGTTTTGTATATAAATACACTCCTTCTTTGTGTCTAATAAAGTTCAATATTTCCTAATTGATTTGCCTTATAGAAAGAAAACTTAAACAAAAATAGAACATATCTTTGGTGCTGTGTAAAAAGTCTGCAAAATTGCTAAAAGATAATGAACTTATATATTTTTTTTCTTTCAAAAACAAAGCTTGTGGTTCTGTGGTACCATCCACGGATTATACTTACAGCCCAACGTATGCACAATATGGCAACGCCTACGGAACCTATGGCTACGGATCAAGTAGTGGCTTACTTAGTAAGTTCTTGAAATATTTTAAGAAAAGTACAAAATAAGATTTAATTAACTTAGTTCTTTTTCTTCCCAAATATTGCAGATTCGTACTACTATGAGGGTGTACAAAATCAAACCACGAACCCAACTGCTTCAAATCAGGAAATACGTTCCCCTTTAGCGGCTACGCGGGCTAATTCGTTGGCATCGGCAGCCTCACCTACTGGCAGTGCTTGTACTAAATCTGAATCGTCGGATATTTTTCTTGTCTAGTGATTTTTGAAGTATTTGCAGCAGATAATCATCTATAGGCAATTGAGAAGAGCGAGGGATTGATAACTCTGCTACATATTAGCTAAATTACCAAAACCAAGCAAAATGTGTTTTTGCGGCGTGCGCCGCACTTTTCGATAAGTAGCATTAGCGTGCGTACATATATATTTACATAAATATATGAAATATTATAGCAAATCAATCGAAGCTCGATGTACGTCGCATATTGCATCATATACGTTGTATGTTCTATATTTTTCCAATTTTGTACCATCTGATAGATTAGTACAAACTAAGATTTAAACGCTATGTATTATTTTATGAAAATTTTTCGATAGTTGTACGGATCCTTGTGCAGAATCAAAGTTTTGAACTCGACATGGTTCTTGGAATAAACAAAAATCTAGGACCACAGTTAACACTCCCAACTTAATTTAATGAAAAATGGAAGATCGTATTTTTTTGCAAAGTATAGGTATGGATTGATATGCGTGGTCTTTTAACATAATCTAGAAAAAGTGATAAGAACGATTTTGGTTCTTATAGAAGTAGTTTTGAGTTGCTAATTACCATTTGAGTAGGCGGACTTATATAACTAAACCACGACTACATCGATTTGGCTATGCATACTTATTAACATATGAAACAAGTCGTTAAAAAATATATATAAAAAGTATATAAAAATGCATTGTATTATTAAAAAGATATTGACTACAATATAACTGTTGGAGAAAAAATACTCACGCATATTTTAATCCAATCAATCCTCCAAGTCGTATCCGGGGGTGGCTAGAAAATGTATTCTACATAAAATCATGGTAAGCTTTTTGGATGTTAGCGCACATTTTCCACGACTCAATAATTTAACTTTAAGACAATGAGGCAGCTTGAAATGCAATGACCGTCATTTGGCTGGTTTTATGCGTCTCCCAAAGAAAATAATACAGAAATGGCACAAAGAAGATAACTCTTTAAGGTGATGTGGCTAATATCATTCGATCGATATCAAAATGTCCAATATGCTCAAGTACTTTATCTCTAAAAAAATTTTTTTTTCAGTATAAATTTATTTGCTTACCCGGTTTTAAGCGAGGACATGATTAATGTGAAACCGAGGTACTTCTAGTGTACAGCTGACTACCGCGACTGCAAAAGTTCACTTTCTCTTTTGGGATTGCATATTTTATGAAAATATTTAGGTTTTTATTTAGGGCTAGCAAAGATGCATAAACCAAAATGTGTTTGGCCTTGTAAATTTATGTTTTGATAGCTATATATTCGGTGTAAATTTAATTTTAATTACGACCAGATATTCTATACATATCACATATTAAAATTTTGTTGGTTTGTTAATTATCAATAAATGTATCAAGAAAAATACAAGATATTTATACATTCTTAACAAACATATGTTTAAATTTTCAGTTTTAAAAGTTATTTTGGCTTTTGACCTAATATGGCCCTGTCTGTAAATACTTTGAAATTTTCTATTCTCTATTTTGCTATTTCCAAACATAGTCAGACAAAGAGAGGAACGCAAGCGCCTTGCTTACACACACATAACACCTAACTAAGAGAAATAACAAAGGTATGAAGTAAAGATATTCGTCTGATATATTTTTTATATGAGCAATCACTCAAGGGACGTCCCCTATTCCCGTAACGTTTGAGGAAAGAATTGAGGACGGAAGAAGGAAGAAAGAAATAGGGTAGTGTTGGCCGCAATCTAGTGGATGTGTGCCCAATCAAAAAGTGCAATGCCTTCATACTCCGAGTAGTTACGACCAAAGTAAACTCTATCGCACTGGGATTTGACCTCGGAAACACTCACATGATAGTCGCGATTTTTACCTATTCGGTTACTCATGCGAATAGATACGTCTGATAAAAGACTTATAGGCAAGTATCAAAGGCTCCTAACTCTTTCTCTCCCTTCCTCTCGCGACCTATTTTTCTTTCTCTTTACCAATTGGTAAAGAGATATAGATAGAACTATCTATCTTAAAACTTACGTTGATTCGGAATGCACAGTTCCTTCCGCTAAGGAAGTTAAATTGAACTTATGAGATCAGTGTACATTAATAAAAGAAGCAACTACCCTTTTGCTATTTATCGTTCTCCATGAACAACGAAGCTATTCTTCCTACATGTAAAAATAAAAGAAAGTATAGCGTAAAATAAATGCACTTAAGAAAAATTATTACGTAACTAATGTGAAGCTACCAAAATTAATTTTCTTTTTTATTTCTAAACATTTGAATTTAATCTAAATACATATAATTTATAAACACTTAATTTTTAAGTATTTAATGCTTTTGTGAAACTTGATGACATTGGACATGTAATTAAACATGACTGAAACGTTAAGGCACTTTTTAACGCCTTAATTTGTGCAAAACTGATCGCCAATAAATAAAATATATACCTTGGCATTGAAATTTGAAGTTTGAACTATAGTTTTATTGCAGAAAGAGTGAGTTAGAGTAATTATTTGCTTAACCTACATCATTATAATCACAAAGGAACAAAAGGATATTGGGATTCATACAGTGTATATGATGTACGCACCGGAGGAAAATTAAAGTTAGATATCGCAAAAAGGGTTGAACAAAATTATGTATTACCGCTTAGAAAAACTTAATTTATAAGAATGTTGTTGAATAAGCTAATTTCATGATCTATTTTTCATTATAACTTAAATATTATGGTTTCTAGTACATCTACATTCAGTAGTTTGTGCCACTTTTTAGTAAAAAGGTCGCTAGGCAGTTGTATATATAATTCAATAATTTATTCGGATATATTTAAAACTTTTCAATGTGACTTAGTCCACATTTACCCCGTACTGGACAGGCCTATAATACTAGGACTTTTATTGAGAGTGATGCCATTTAATATTTGAAAAAAAAAATCTGTTGAAGTAAGTTGTGTTTCTTTTGGAAGCTTAGACATTCCCAGTATGTTGTGAACAAAGTATCTTGCATATATTCACGACGTCTTTGAACGCACTGGCTCACTTCCTGCCTCTGATTGTTCATCATTCTCTTCTATATTATGGCGTCGATGGCGTCGATATTTACTTTGCATACCTAGTAACCATCATATATAGTATTCTTTTCCAAAATAAATTAAAAGTAATACAAGTAATTCACTCGATTTGGTAAAAATACGTCAAAAAAATATGCATTTTTTTTCATACAAAAGTATACTTTTCGTGGAAGCCCGTATATTGGAGGACGACCAAAAATTTAATTATTTTTCAGATTTTCTCGTAAAAAACTAGAAATTAGACTTTATCTACATAATGGCTTGCTTTTCATGATAACACCTACACGTTCGGGTGTAAATAAATAGATCTATGTGATTCAAATTCCATAAAACTTTCTTTGCTCAGTTGCTACTAACCAATTTTCATCATAAAATATTATAAATCATACCTTTTTTTTCAAGTACTTCCTATTGATGAGAAATCTTATATGAAGTGGGTTCCAAAAAATAGCCTCATTTATTTTTATGTCGAATTACTATTATGAACAAAATTTCATCATAAAACATTAGCAACTAGACCTTTTTGGCATATAAATCTTTACATATCTTAAGAATTCTTATATAGGATGGTACCCAAGAAAAAGACCTGTGTGGTCTAAGTTTGGTTAATGTACTATTATAAACCCATATTCGCAACGAAATATTAAAAATTAAACTTTTTTGCCATATAAAAATTCACTTTTGGTACAAACGGATTTAGAATGTGGAAATATCACTACACTGTAAGATTTGCCGAAAGAAGTTAAGAATTGCAATATTTTTACACCCTGTGATACGGTTTTGCGGACGTGCTTAACACACGGGAGAGCTTAAGATAGGCCTGCATATTATTCAATTCGAAATCATTTTTTGAATTAAGCTTGTCTGTCCATCTGTTCGTTTGCTCGTCTGAGGCCTGTCCCTGTAAAGTTATGTTCAAGCTACAGATTCCAATTTTTGATATATTTTGATGAAATTTGGTACAGTGACCAAGGACGAACCCTAGTGAAAATGGTTGGTATCAACTCTTTCGACCCATATAACGCTTTATTTAAAAACCTCTGAAAATCACGTTGAAGATGATGATGAACCAGTTCAAAGTTCAAGTTTAGTTCAAAGAACTAAAGCTATTTTGCGAATTTACCAACTTTGCCGTTGAACGATTTGCACCGTTCACATATGTCAAGAATATGGCGCATAAATGATAAAAATTCTGTCAGTTTTATGAAGTTTTTCAAAGTTGTCATCAGCGAATATGTTAATGCACGTAACTTTGTATTTTCAATATGTTTCTAAAAATTCAAAGATTATTTTCAAAATTTTAATTTTCCAATGTATAATACATGAAAGTTGAGGTGTTGCCTGATTTATTGTTAATCGAGAATAACGGCGCAACGAACACTCACTATATAAAATGTTCCGTAACCGAACGCCACTTATCTACTTTAAGAAAACTCCTTTTTTCACTTCACAAAATTGGTTAATTGCTTTCTTGTTTATTTCTATCAAACAAATCTAGCTTTTGGTAAGCATTCTCTAAATATTTTTCTGATGCTACAATAAAAACTCGTTCCCCGCTTTTCGATGTATGTATATTTTACGAAAAGTCAATAAGCTACATGATGATACAATAACGTTGAATGCGAGAAATTTTAAACAAAATTTTAAAAACGGTTATTTGACTGCGCATGGTACGTTCCATATTCCATATTGGTGCGAAATGTTAGCACTTCTTCACATTTAGTTGTCTCTGGAAAAAACCTTTATTTTCGAATCGATATTATTCGCACTTCCGATTTTGATTTTTTAATAGATAAAGCAATTTTACGCCAACGTCGTATTTTTTTTTTTTGCCGTTTTAAACATAATCGCGGAAGACCAACTGTTTATTCAGTATGATTCGAAAGACTTAAAGTGATCAGAAAAGCCGATTCTATTACCTTGAATTGGCAAAACAAGCGAAACAGAACACAAGGTTTTTGTGCGAATTAAAAAAATGACTTGTATTTTCTTTGTATATAACTTAGTTTAGATATTGATTTAGTGTAGATATTTATTTAGTTCATCACACTAGTTGCAGCTAAAATAACAACAGCCGAATATTATACTAATTATTATTAAAAGTTTAGTAGAACGTATAAAAAGGGAGGCAAATAACAACTCATATATAAATAAATAAGAAAGGAAAGAAGAAGTATGCAGTAGCACACAGGCACACCCACAATGGGTACAGATCCAAATTGCGAGCGAAATCATAAGTCATTGCAAACATGCACAAACTTGGCAAGCGATAACACTAAAAACGCCAGTTAGTTAACGAATTGTGGTGAGATGCTCAATTTTTATTTTATTTTACCAACTTATACATGAAATTCAACTAAAGAATATTATGGGCGAAACCCGTGCATCTTAAAAGTAAATCTTACACGGAAAAAACTAGTATAATAAGTAGCAAGATGAAAAAAGAAGAATATTAAAAGTAAAGTAACTTAAAAATAAATTAAAAATAATGACTCATGTATAAATATATAAATAAAAAAAGAAAATAAGGCATGTACACAGCAAGCACAGAATCACATCCGCAACAAGAACAGATCCAGGTTATAAGTGAACCCCTAAACGATTACAACCATACGTTAGCTTGGCAACCAACACGTTAACAACACAATATTATTTTAAATAAGAAATGAGATATTAAGAATAAAATAATAGCTTAAGTCGCGCATATTAAGCAAAGTTGCTTTAATAGACTTTAAAGAGGCTCATATTGTGAATAAGTGATAGACATCATCTAGGTTTGGGAAAACAACTCTGAGTCGGTTAAACAGCTCATAATTGACATTACATTGATTAAGCTTAATCATGATAAACTGGCTAGAGAAGCGGTTAGGGACATTAAAGCCTATCTCACGAAGTAATGCGAGCGAGACAGTTGTACCATATATTAATTTGATTACGAAGGAAACCCCAAGAACAAATCTATGTTTCTCCAGTGACGGTAAGGATTATAGAAGCAACCTATTTTCATAGGGTGGAAGAGAGGCAATCGGGTCCCAACCCAAATTCCTAAGGGCAAGCAGCAAGAATTGCTTTTGAATAGATTCAATTGAATCTACGTAGCACCTATATGAAGGAGACCACACAACAGAGGCATAGTCAAATATAGGTCTAACCAAACACATATAAAGCCTTTTCGAAACATAAGGATCTTCCAGCTCTCTGGACTACTTCTTTATAAAACCAAATGCAGACCTAGCTTTGCTTAACGAGAACTCAATATGCAAGTTAAAACGTATCGTGAAATAGAACGCCTAGATCTGTGAACAAATCGGCGTCCTCCAACTTGTGCGAATCAATGAAATACTGAGTAATGAATGACTTCCTTCTTGAGAAAGAAAGCTTCTAACATTTATTTAGATTTAGTTTCAGAAGATTCAAAGAACACCATGCAACCAAATTATTCAAGTCACTTTGAAGTTGATGTGATTACGATTCTACGGAGAAAAAAGAAAACATCATCAGCATACATTAAGATCTGGCTGGAATTAATCACAGATTGGAGATCATTAATGTATAAACTAAATAAAGTGGGACCTAAGTGGCTGCCTTCAGCTACGCCAGGCGTCACGGGGAATTCATCCGATGTGATGAAGTTAAACAATATCCTGAATGATCTATTGTGCAGATAAGAGTTTAACCATTTCAATAAATAGAAAGGGAAGCCAGAGACTTGGAGTTTAAAGATAAGTAGTTTATGGTTATCCAAATCAAACTCTTTGCGAAATATAACAAGTAAACTCTAACAGATTAGTGACCGTAGATCTTACTTTTCGAAAGCCATGTTGGAGTGGAGAAATATACGAATTAATGGCAAAGGCCAAATGCTGAGTCACTATTCGCTCGAACAGCTTGGACAAGACACTCAACTTGGCTGTGCCTCTGTAGTTCTCAACAAATTGTCTACTTCCACTCTTGTGGATAGGAATTAGGAAACTACTCTTCCAACACGAAGGGAAAACACCTAAGTTCAAAGACAGGTTAAAAATCTTTGAGATCACACCACATAACTCGACAGCGCAAGATTTAAGCACACATGATGGAATTCGAC